AATGCTACTTCTCTTCCCACCGGACCAGCTGTGGGGCCGGAGGCCAAGGCCGCTGTCTGAAGGCGGGAGCCTCCCGAGGTGGCGGATTGCATCACGTCGGCAGCTGAGGCTCCACGCGGTTTATCATTTACTCGGGGGAAACAGATGGACAAACACTGATCAAGTCCCTGACAGGCATCCAGAGCGCTGTCCTTGCTCCCTGCAGTGACACGGGGCGGAGACGTGGTGCAGGGCCGCGGTCCCTTACGAAACAGAGAGCAGGCTGCCCTCTGGAACCCGCTCCGTGCGCACGTCCTTGAGCGAGCCGGGCCCTGGGCATTAGAGAATCGGCTCCTAATAAGAAACCAAAAACGCTCGTTTAAAAGGGAAAGCCAACGTGGTATGTCATGCACTCTTAGGAGCGACTTTCTGTAAAGAGAATGTCAGTTCTCAAAAGGCAGCTTATGAAACCACTAGAGGAAGAACAGAAAGGAGGCCCTGGTGGCTCAGTGGTTAGAGGGTCGTCCTGACACCCCAAGGCTGCAGGCTCCATCCCCGGTCAGGGCACACACCAGAACCAACCGATGAATGCACACACAAGTGGGACAACAAATCAATGTCTGTCTGTCTGTCTGTCTGTCTGTCTCTCCCTCCCTCCCTCCCTCCCTCCCTCCCTTCCACTTTATCTCTAAAAAGTCAATAAATGAAAATTTTTAACAAGAAACATATAAAGAATAGCAATGATCTGATAATGACGAACACTCTTCATACTACAGTTAGACCACCCTTTCGATGGCAGGGCCAACCAAGTCCAATTTTTTGAACCTTAAAAGCACAGGGACAGCCAAGCTGCCCAGAGGTCTGAGAAGCTCAGAGGGCCGTGCCCCGGTCACCGTGCCCTGACATGGGGATTCCCCGAATTCCCTGGGGAAGTCGGATGAGATGGCTCTGGGGCCGGGATGTTTCCAATGCAGGAAGGAAGTTCTTCTAACCAAACGCTCAGTGTTAAAGTGTCTGCAAGCAGGGGCATCCCACAGGAGATTCACAGCAGTCACGGCTGGCAGGGCCCCTGGAAATCAGTCCAACCCTCTCCTTTCACAGCAGGCAACACAGCCCGAGATGGCTCAAGGTCTCACCGTGACCGAGAGGACCCGAGGAATCCAGGAGAGAGGATGGAAGTCAGGCCTGTGTGCCACCCACGTCTCTCCAGCCCCACTCTTAGGCCTCACTACACCCGATTGTCCCAGTTAAGCAGAGAGCCGCCTAAGTCACCAAGAGCAAATGCATCCTGGAAAAAACCATCCAGCACTTTCTTCATCCCGGACACCACATGTCCTGCTCAGACAGCCGGGGCCCCAGCGCTCAGCGCCACCTCCCGGGCTTCCCCACAAGGGCGCACACAGCCCGCACAGCCTTCCCGGGTCCCCAGGACACACACCCTCCCTTCGCGCTCCGTTCCGGTTCCCAGGAGAACCAGGAGTGCTGACTGAGCCAACAGATTCCTCCTCGGGCCTTGACGCTCAAGGAGCCCGGGCAGTAAATGCAGCTGGTTTTGCTTGAAATGCAGAATTTCTGCTAATCAGCTTACGGCTTGTTTGGCCACATGAATGATTCTTCTGTGTTACATAATCTGTCGCCGTAATGTGCTTTACTGTAGGTCGTCTGTGTGTGTCTCCTGGTGCCCGTGACCGTGGGGTGAGTGGGTGTCGTTTAGCTGTGGGACATTGCCAGGGGTGCCGCTGTTTAGAATGGGAATGGGGACCCCCCAGCATCCTCCCATCTAAGGGCCCGTCAGTCAGCCAGTCGGATTCAGCGTGTGGACCGCATCTCTGTTCCTGAGCTGTGGGCTGTTGCTTTACCCGTAGGATTGCTTTATGTGAATCAAACTAATATCAGGAGGGAGAGTACCTGCCTGCTAACCAAGTCCCCATGACACAAAAACTAAAACGAAGTCACTGCAATAGGATATTCTTCCCAACGTAACCCACCGGTGTAAACAGCATCCTTGTAGAGACACAATTTTAACATGCAAAGACTGTCTTGTTCCGTTTTGGCACAGAAACATTCAACTGCATTTTTTTTTTCCAGCGCTGTGCACAGGCAGTGGCTTACCTTCCAGCATCTTCTGCAGACTGTTTCTCATGACGTGGATGTTCTCTATCCCGATGAACTGGAACTTGATGTTGGAATAATTGTCTTCATTCTCGTAGCCTTTCCCGGCAGCGCGGTTTGCCATGGCGTTAAGCTGCAGCGGTCGGCAACACAGAATAGTCACCCGTAATATCCAGGACAGGAACCGCCAGAGCGTGTCATGGCTCTCCCGGGCAACATTCACAATGAGGTGCGGAGACAGGACAGGGTTTACATCACGGGAACACTGTACTGAGCTGTGTAGTTTCAGACATGCATGCTGAGCTTGTTCCTGACAACATACATGTGTCGACATGGGGAACATTTTCTGAGCTGGGAAGAAGCGTTCTACGGATACACATTCTATGGATAAACTGCCTCTCGCAGTTCCCTGCCCTGATCTAATCCCGAACATTATCACCTGTGATCGGCAGGGGAGTCACCTGTGATCGATGTCAGTGTGAAGCCCTGCGGGTTAAATGATTACATCCTCCAGCCTCACGCTGCCAGCAAGCACACCATCAAATAGGAACGGCTGCACCGTTCTAATTCGCCCACAAGAACCCCCCAGACGGCCAGTTAAACCTCGAGCAGGAACCACTGAGTGAAACGAAGAGAGGGCGTGCAGACGCTGTCTGCAGAGGCATGTCCTCCGGCCACCTGACTGCAACCCGGGGGCCTGTTAAAGGGCTGTGACCACTTTTATGACCATAATTCTGTATCTGAGAAGTGAGGATTTCCCAGTGCAAACAGTGTAATGATCATGGACTTTCAGGAGTAACTAAAGTCAAGAAGGAGACAGGTCTTGCCTGAGCTCGGAAATACGCGGATTTCTAGAATACCTGCAGTCTGACCGAGTAATCCCATCCTAGAAAACATATTCCCTGGCCATTGTCTTCCTCTGCCACAGAGGACAGGGGCTGTCCCAGGCAAGGAACTGACACCCGGGACTCACCACCAGAAACAATATCCATTTTTAGGACCACAAAGCTATACTGAGAAGATATTAATACATACTTTTCAAAAAGCTAAGTTTAAAAAGCCAAGTCAAAAACATACATATTCTTTGACCGAGGTCTCCTGTTTACGAGAATCTGACACAATTAAAAGTATCAGCACATAAAGATGCACGTCCAAGAATATTTATTGCAACTTTTTATATAATAACAAAAAGCTGAAAATCTATGAATATCTCAATAGGACAATGACTACTAACAGTACTAAGAGAAACATAGGTTATCTATCTATCTACCTACGTATCTATCATCTATCAACAGAGACAGACGGACAGACTTGGAATTGGCCCATGACATGTTAACATGTTAAGTGAAAAGAGTAAACTACAAAATAATACTCTACAATTATCCCATCTTTTGAAAAATAAACCAACCTACAGAGAAGTGTGAATGTTTATGCAGGTTTGAGTCAGCAGAATTAAAGTGTATGAAAGACTGTATCCAATTGGGCAAAAGTTACAGCAGAAAGATAGAGGTGTCATGTGACGGGGGGCCTGCCCCACGGGTCCCTCCCCACATCGTCTCCAGGATCGTCTTTCTATGTGGACTAAATTATATTAAATTTCAACCTATAGTGAAATAATAGTCCTGAAAATAATTTCTTGTTTCAGAGAAGAAAAAAAAATCAATACCTCAGAGGCTCCTGTTACTAAGAAGCTATATTAGGTTCGTAATTTAAATAACAGAAGTCAAGCATTTAGAAGTGAAACATAAACCCGTGGCAGAACGTCCCCTTTCCACAGTGGCCCTGCTCCGTGATGTAGCTCATGTGAGTGACACCAGCTGGGCCATGTCAGCCCCTCAGCCCCCTCTTCCAATGTACTAAAGGTTGTCCCCTTTCTCCCAGGGATGCTATAGGAATACAGGGTTTGGCCTTAATCAGGAAAAAAAAATTAGAATAATGTTATTTTTAAGACTATGTACGTTCATGCTTTAAAATGTTTAAGTATTTTAAGGGGGGAGTTTCTTCGTATAATTATTTTCCAAAGCCACTGGCTTGGCCTTTACAGCGAGCCTCATGAAATAAACCGACTCCCAGGGTCATGTGAGCGTCCTCCTGCTACCTGAACCCTAGGGCTATTCCCTATCTGGAATAATTCAGGTTAAGCCTGCTCACCTCATGCCACAGAGGTACACTCTGTAAACAGTGCAAGGAATAAACCCCAAATACTATTATAGTTATTATTATGATAACCTGTAATTAGGAGTCTGCTCACATTTTACGTAGTTGATCACCTATAACCTGGGAGAATTTATCGGTAGCCTTCTTTTAGAAGCGAAGAAGCAACAGGAGATGGCCTCTCGAAAGTCAATGGTGCTTCTCACAGTGAACAGAAGGTGGCGCTATTTAGCCTCCCATCCAAAGTGAACTTTCTCAAGGTTTCTACATATTTCATAGGACCTAATACGATAATGTGGCAACAGCTGAACCCTCAAAGCAGGAAATACAGTTTTTAAATTAATAAAAATTCAGGAAGCTATCCTGGACCAATGGACCAATTATACATATAATTATGTAATTATATATTATATATATTCAGATAAAATGTCCCTTATATAACAAAACACTGTTAGTAAATCTAATTTGGTCTCCCATCCCTTTGGGTGAAAACTTCATTTCACATCTATGTCTCTCTCTCTCTCCCTCCCTCTCTCTCTCCCGCCCTCTCTTCCTCCTCCTCTCCCTCCCTTTCACTCGCTCCAAAAATCAATGGAAAAAATATCCTCTGGTGAGGATTTTTTAAAAAAACAACAAAAAAACACAAAGGAAAACCTACTTATTTCAGCTCCTAAAAATTCCCAAGTAGATAAAAACAATGAAGGTAACTACATTCCAGTTTCAATTTATGCTTAAGAAACACGGCGTACAAATGAAAAGTGGAACTGGAGAAAGGTACCCTGTTCCTAACCTAAGATCACCGGCTGTTTGATAATCTCAGCATCTTTACATTCAGAGAAGCTCCTAAATGAAACAAAAGGAACCTACTCATTCCTCAACAAGCACTTAATGAACACCTGCTGTGTGCCAGGCAATGAGCACAGTAAGAAGATGAGCAAGAAGCTGTTCTACCGCCATAAGCTCATCGCTGAGTGGAAGGGAAAGCTCAGAGCACCACACAGGAGGGTGGGGCAGGGGCTGAGTGACTGGAGGCAGTGGCGGCAGCAGGAGCTCGAATGGGGAGCCGCCCCACGTGGCCTATGGGATCAGGGGGAATGTGTCATGAGACGGACGGTAATAATCTGGAAGGATGGAGAGAAAGGGATGGGCATTCCAGACAAAACACGAGGATGACAGGAGGTGGGGAGTCAAAACCAAAGGAGCAGGTGGGTATTGTGAGCCAACCCGTGGCAGCGAGGTGGGAGGTGCAGGTACGGCGGCAACAGCAAGGGAAGAAGCTGGAAAATCTTTGGAGAGCCTTCCAAACAGGCCCGATGAAGATGCCCAGCCTTTACCTGTGGCCCTGGAGAGCAACGGGGGGCTTCTAAGCGGGTTTAATTGGAAACTCTGTGCGTTCATGTCCATGACGCCAAGACCCACTGGAATGGGGTGGAGGGCACGAGCTCCGGGAGCTGGTGGCCTTGTCCATGTCCTCCCCCCGGCACAGGACAGGCACTCAGTGAAGAGCTAAGGACTGGCTCACCCCCCAAATAAATATCAACAGTGGAATGACCCTGGCAGGTGAACAGTCTAAACATGTAAAGAAAAAGAAGCCGATTCATCCCCTAATCTTCAACCAGCCTATCAAACATACCAAAACCATAAACGCTTTGTCAACGAGCGTCCTGCTATCGAGTTAAAGGTCAGCCTGGTCACTGTCTTCGTCTCGGAGTCTCAGGTTTCAGCTGAGCACATTCGACACCTGAATCCTAACAGGAGCTGGTCCTCCGCAGTTGGGAATGGAGAACAGACGTTGACCTTGGCAGGAGGGCTGGGCCACGTGCCCGCACAGGGTGTCAAGTGATTGTCCTTTTCTCCCCCTCCCTCCGTAACTGCGGAGGTGAAGAACCGTACATTGTGCCATAAACATGAAAACCTGGGATGATTTTACCTCTTGCCACTACCGTCCCCAACTGCGAGAGTGGAAATCCTCCCTTCTCACCCCTGAGGACAGCCCAGCAGAATGAAGAGCTTTCGAATTACACTCAGACAGGAAACCTCCGTCCAACTCAACCGAAAACTCCCATCCCATACGTGATGCACAATGATCTTCCCCTCATTACAGGCCATTTGGACGGGGGAGGGTGTGTGCCCTGGTGCACCCCCCTGCCTTTTCTTCTTTCTTTTACAGCTCGGCCTGTGTCCGGGGAAAGGGGCATTGTGGAGGAGTGATAAGAGGTAAGCATCCTATATAATAAAAGCCTACTGTGCTAAGTGTCCGGTCGTCCAGTCAGCCATTCAACCAATAAAAGTGTAATATGCTAATGATATGCTAAGGCCGCTCAACCGCTCGTTATGATGTGCACTGACCACCAGGGGGCAGACAGTGGACTGGTCAACCAGTTTCTATGACGTGCACTGACCACCAGGGGGCAGATGCTCTGACTGGTAGGTTATCTTGCTGCGGGGGTCCAGCCAATCAGGACTGAGCGAGTCGGGCTGGACACACCCTGGAGCCCTCCTGCAGTCCCGCCCCGGCTGGCCAACCTCCTGCATCCCTCCCTGGCCTTGATCATGCACCAGTGGGGTCCCTTGGCCTGGCCTGTGCCCTCTCGAAATCTGGGTTGAGGGACCTCCCCCCCACCCCACACCCCTGCCCCAAGTGCACAAATTTCGTGCACCGGGTCTCTAGTGTCTTTATAAAGCTGGACAAGACTGCAATTCTCTCTCTGTTGGTAGTCACTGCTTTTCTGGTTATCACTTACTGCCCATCACTGCCCTCCCCGGCATAAGAGGCCAAGGGCCGAGTCTCCTAGGGCACGTTCACGTATGTGGGATCCTGGGGTAGGAGGTGCACAGTTCGCTAACACGGGAGAGCCACGCTGACTTGAGTCCATTCCAGCATCGCATTTGCCACTGCCCACCACCCGTAACAGACGTGGACTCAGTCTCCGGGCTACCAAGGAAGCCTGACACACTCTGAACCAAGATCAGCAGACACGGTCTTGAAAAGTCTGAAAGCTCTCAGCAAGCAGTGTACACCTCATGTGCAGCGTGTGTGCGCGCGGGGAAAACATGCCGAGGGCAAACCTTTAGCAACACCAATTTTCTTTAATGGATCAGCATGAAACGTCTTGTCGCAGAGAGTAAACATACTTGGTGCTAAATATACCCTTCCAATCAGATCCTGTGGATTAATTTGTTTTAAATCTGGCCTGTGCCTGGCTCAACAGCTGCCACATTTCCTGGAAGGTTTACATAACACAGTCTATACACTTGGCTCACTGGCCCTTCCATGAGCAGGCAAATCTGTTTGCCTTTATTTAAATCTGGGAAAACAGCGTAGGAGGAGAGCACCCCAACTCAGGAAAGCCCCTGTCGTTCCTGCCTTTTCTATCTTGTCCTCAGTGTACGTGTCTGAGAGGCAGACATTCATGAAGTCTCTCCTGATGGTGAGGGAGAGCAGAACAGCTGTCCGTGCCTGGCTGGTGAGGCTCAGTGGTTGAGCATCGACCTATGAACCAGGAGGTCACGGTCCAATTCCCAGTCAGGGCACTTGCGGGCTCGATCCCCGGGAGGGGGTGCGCAGGAGGCAGCCAATCAATGATTCTCTCTCTCCCTTCCTCTCTGAAATCAATAAAATATATATATAGGTGAGAAAGAAGCGGGTAGAGCGCAATGAGCCAGAAGGAAAAGCACAAATCGGACAAGAACAGATCAGAGAGTTTCTGGCATCGGTAGGTGAAAGGCTTCAGGCAGAACCTGTTCTCCCCCCACACCCCAGCTTGCTGCCCCGGCCCTCCCATCTGAAGCTCGTCTGCATGTAGTGCTTTGAGGGTGCATCTGAAAAGGAGGAACCCTTCCGTGTCATCTGCTGGAACGTGGTCTGGCTGGGACACCCGTCTTATACCCGAGCATCCTCTCTGCTCCGCCACACCTGTCCGGCAGCCACACTCCCGCCAGAGACGCAAGGGTATGCGTGGGGCACGGGCCTCTCACTAGGAAAACATCACATTGTGTGACCCAGACCACGGGTCACAGCCCTGATGAAATGAGACTCAGGGAGGCAGGGAAAATTGCCAGGACCTAGGTGTCTACGCCCGGGACAGTGTCCAGTTCTCACATCACCCATGAGTACAGACTATGTCTGCAATGACCTGTTCTTAACATCAGTGTATACTTTGGTTAATAAAAGTCTACAGGTTTCGGGTGCACAATTCTATACATCATCTGTATATTGTAGTGTGTGATCACCACCCCAAGTCAAGTCTCCTCCCATCAGCTCTATCCTCTTTACCCTCTTCTACCTCCCTCCGCCCCCTTCCCCTCTGGTAATTGCCATACTGTTTGCATCTATGAGGGTTTGTGTGTGTGTGTGTGTGTGTGTGTGTGTGTGTGTGTGTGTGTGTGTGTTGGGAGGGGGGTGTTGCTTCATCCCTTCACCAAAGAAAGGTCATTTTTAGAAATTTTAGGAGCGTGATCTATAAAACTAAACAACACACATGTGGTGCGTGCACTGTGTACCCAGCACAAGGGGGGAATGTTAGAGGAACCTGAGGCGCGCACGCAGGAGCCTGGGAACCCGGGCAGCAGCCCTCCGAGCGCCCGGGTGCCGATTGTGCAAAGAGGAGGAGCCCCTTTGCAGCGAATCAACCTCAGCGGGAAGGCAGCCCCTCGCTCTGCCTGGGTCCAGTCCCCTGACTCAGAGCTGCAAAGGCGCGCATCCGAATGGCAAAACGGCGACACTTACTTTAGGCCGCGTGTCCACGACGTAAATGAAGTCGCTCCCTGGGTTGGCTTTCCTGATGGCCTGGAGCATCTGCTCATCTTCCAGGCACCGGGCGCTGAAGCCGGACAGGGGCTGGCTGCTCCGGCAGATGGAGGCCTGCGGGGAGGGCCGGGCGACACAGCAGCCTCAGACCACTGTGCAAAGAGACGCAGCAGAGACCCGCCGGGCTGGCTGCCCGACAAGGCGCCCCTGGCTCACTGTGCCCACGACATGGCAGGCCGTGCAATGGTGTCTGTGGGAAATCAGAATGTGTACGGACGCCTGGGTGGGACCCTAATGAGGGCACTGAAAGCCATTGAAATAACCTTTCATTTTCCTGCTGAAGCAGAAATAGAAAAGAAATACCTCTGCCCCTACAACGCACAGGACCCTGCTCAGGGCAAGACTAGTAACAAACGTTTTTAAATGCGTGCCATCATTTTTTCCTAGCCCGTTTAGAAACTTCACAAATACTCAAGACCACGTTTAATCCTGATGAGGGGCTTCTGAGTGTGAGGCGAGCCCAGGCTGCCGCTGGCGTGGCACCTGAGGGCAGCGGGCACACACCGAGGCTCACCCAGGTGCGGTGAGATGGAAGCAAGGGGTGTCTTTGGACTCAGCCTGCCTTCTCTTCTGCAACCTTCCTAGTCTTCAATTCTAACAGAGCATATTGTATTCTTCAATAAAATGTGTAACAGCATAAACATTTCCCATGTTATTAATAGGCCAGTATAGGTACAGCCTCACCGCTAAAAAAAACTTGTGTTTTTGTGGCAAAGTTCCTTTTATGGATTTAGATTCTATTTTAATATTTAAATTAAGCTGGAATCACCAAGTACAATCAATACAGGAAGGGCTCAAATAATCTACACCGAGGGCGTGCGCCCCTGTGCGGAGGGTAGAGGCGTGGGGTCTGTGGGAAACGGTGACTGAGAACAGTCGGGAGGAGCCTGCTCAGAGCGCCACGCTGCAGGCTCTCCAGGAAAAGCCATCCAGCTCCGAGTCCAGGCCCGGCTTAACTGTCCCGAAGCTCAGCCCCGGGCGCCTTAGCCAGGGTTTCAGTTTCTCCATAAAACGGGAGCTTGGCACTCCTCGGCGGGAAGGCGGATGCTTCTCGCTAACTCTGCCATCCTCCGGCGCGGACCGTGGCAGAACCACAGCGCAGAGCAGCCAGACACGTAGCGGGGCAGCTGTCTCAGGCTGGGCGCCTTCTGTAACAGACACGGAGCCGAGGCGGCTCCAGGAACTCCGGCCTGCAGCCAGGGAGGGAGAGCGGGAAGGACAGCGAAAGGCTGGCCGCCGGGCTGCTCCAGCTTAAATCTTTTTTTTTTTTTCCACTGCAGCTAAATAATGTCTTTTTTGGATGCTGTTAAGGATACGGTTGCTGTGGAAACACAGGATCTCACCCTGCAGGTTGGGGTGCCAAACCTGAACTGTGCATTTTTCTAGCAGCTGCTGGAGGACTGGGGATGCTGGGAGGAGAGACAGCCGAGCTGAGGTCATGCTGTAGTCTTCATGGGGCCCCTCCTGCAGGTGGTGGCTGTCTCTCTCCTTTAGAAAGTCCCCCAAGACTCACGCTTCTCCGGGTGCCACCCGCTCGTCCCCCGCCTCCACCCCACCGTCGTGTTTCCCTGCCACCTGACTCTGAGGCCCCTAGACCAGCCTCCTTCACACCGTCCCTGGGCTGTCTGTGTGTGTTGCCTCTGCTCTAACATTCTAGCTGTGTGACTCTAAGCAAATTGCATGGCCTTTCAGCTTGAGTCACTGGCAGCACAAGTCCAATGGCTGTGAGGAGGAGGAAGGGAGGGAGGGTCTGAACATGGATGAGGATAGCCAGCTTGGGGGAGGGCCACGGGGAAGGGGAACTGAGGGTGGAACCAAAGGGGGTTAAGGGCAGGTACGTCCAATGGGTGGGAGGCAGTCCCCACACCTGGCTTTCACGGAGCTTGTCTGGGGGCTGTTTCTCCCACCTTCGGAGGGTCAGGCTCTGCCCCTGCGCAGGGACTGCTGATGCAGAGAGCACCTCTGAGCGGCCTTTACCCGATACTTGCTCTGGGCGAAAAAGTTAAGGGCAGCTGCCACTGGGCAATTTCGTAGGTTCTCGCAGAGGAGTTCGACGGGGAGGGAAACATTTAAATGGTGAGAATCTGTCCAAGGGTGCACACACCGCACCTAAAGGGCAGCACCCGGGGGCACCCAGGGAGCGGTGAGGGTCTGGGCGGCAGGGGAAGCCGGGCTCTGCGGTCTAACTGGGAGCAATTCGATCCTATTCTGAGACATTCCACACTTGACCTTCATAAGGCTCACCCTTCCCCAAGAATCTCAGGACAGAAAAAAAAGCAGTCGGACAGCACTACGCTCACTTTTTAGGTACCCAGCGCATCCCTACCCCCTCACAATAAAAGAATAGAAGACCCCCCTCTTGTTTCTCTATCAATGGATGTTACAAACAAACAAACAGGTAAATGCTGCTGGCATCCTAATTTCAAGTACAACATCGTAAACTTCCCTATTCGTTCCATTTTTTTGTTTTACAAAAAGGATTCATATTTTCCTTTGCCTCTCACCATTGCTCCAGTTCTGTGAAGGCTGAACTATATTTGGAGTGAAATAAGAAGGACATTAATAAAATACTTGCCATCTTTAGACCCCAGTTCAGAGCAGTGAGTGTAACTAAAAATATGATCACTTACGGCCTTTCAACTAACAGAACTTACACCGCTAAGTGAATGTTTTCCTTTAAAGCGGGCAACGCAGGAGGCTGCTGCTCGCTCTGGAAATAGCTGTAAGAGGGACATTAATAAAATACTTGCCATCTTTAGACCCAGTTCAGAGCAGTGAGTGTAACTAAAAATACGATCACGTATGGCCTTTCAACTAACAAAACTTACACCGCTAAGTGAGTGTTTTCCTTTAAAGCAGGCAACGCAGGAGGCTGCTGCTCGCTCTGGAAATAGCTCGAGGCAACTCTGGAAAAGCCTCCCTTTGGAACCTCTGGGACCCTACCCTCCTCCCTGCCTGCAGGTGCGCGCATGTCACACACACTCACACACACACCCTCTCACACTCACACACACCCCC